CGAGCCCATTTCCCAGTGTCTCTAGAAGTACAGCAACTAAGATAAGTTATGGAAGGGTGGGAAAAGTCCCACCGTTTGATAAATTTTCATTGGTCTCTTTGAAAAACTTGGGCTTTTGTAGGTAAAATAACTTTCCATCATAGTAAGTGCAGAGTGGATTCTTTAGTACCATGATCATTCCTCAGTCATCTAAGGGCTCCTTTAAAACAGCTGGACTTTCTCAGTCCCGGTACTTTTAAGCTGATAACTTACTCAAAGTGAAGAAAAGTACGTTAGCTTATTTGGCTGATGGAATTTGAGAGTCATTTTGGACTGATGACAACAGGTCTTCATGCAATTCAAATTTTTGAAAATACAAAAATATTTGTCTGATGTTATGATATGCCCTTATTTGAACCTATATGCAGTATAGTTGAGGCTAGTGTGACTAGCAAGTACCAAGCAATGAGTGAAGCTACTTTGATGAGTTTAATTGCTTATGACTCAGCTCAGTATTGTTCCCATTACGGAGTCATACGGACTTGTTTTACGGGAGCTGCAAGTAACTGTGTTAAGCTCCTGTTCTAGTTCACATTTGCGTTATTTGGTTTCTCAAACAGCATTTGTGACACAGTCTCTGTTTTCAAAATTTTGTGCCATTTTTCAAAGAATGCACAAAAGCAGTGAGCTTCACGAATCAATTTAGTTAGAAGGGAAGCTATGTTCTCCTGGGAATATCTTGTTCTTGGCTTTCCTAAATGTATTCCCTCTTTGGATTTCATTTTATGAGAGCTTAAAGAGGGGCTGTCATGTTCATCCATGCAACAGAGGAAAGAGCCTTACCATTTTATACTAGACGACAACCCATCTCTTGCTTATTCCTTTAAAAAAGGAAAGCAGTGGTAAATTAGTCTTATATTTTAAAGACCAGCAGGAAAAGAGTTATCCACTAGAAGAAAGATCACAGGTGTCTACCTAAGCAGTAAGTTCCTCAAAGAGGCACATCTGGACAAGCAGCAGGTCTGGACAGGCTTAAAAGGTGTATGACATGAATTCTTGTTTTCTTTTGGAAAGTCTGAGAAGAATTGAGGGAAGGAGGTGGACCCTAAGTACATGATAGTCAAAGGTGTTTAATCTGTAGAATCCTGAACATGCACTACCAGGTAGAACACTATTTTGTATTGAGACGGCAAACATCTTGTCGGAAAGATGCTTGTTTCTGTTTTTGCTGTTTGTACTGATAATACTTCACCTATTTCTTTTCTGTTTGTTCTAGAAACATTGCAAATATTTGAATATTTACTCTGATCATTATGAAAAAAAAATTGCTGGTGTAGTATAGCTGAAATGTGTGAAATTATCTCTATGTTACTGGAAGGCAGGTGATCATTTTCTGTATGAGGTATACAAGAAGAGATTTTTTTTTACTTGGAGTATCTGTAAAAGCAAACCTTCTGGCATAATCAAGTCCATCACAGATTTATATTTTTCATCTTCATAACTGAGATCTAAACAAATCTGTCCTGAGTTCTGCTTTTTCTCCAGCTTCTACCTTTGTAGCTAAATTCTTTATATGCAGTTAAAAAATTTTAGTCTTTCTTTATCAGTCTAAGTTTGCCATACCTCTGAAGGCCATCAGGGTTTTTTTCTGTCGACTGTAAAAGATAACATTATTGGCCCAAACTTACTCATTATGAAACACAATTTATATTAATCAAGCCATATTAGAGTTCAAGTTGATTGTTTATATGGTTTGCTGATATATGGTGGTACTTTTGTGTTATAGGGGGTCTCGTGCTTTTACAATGTTAGTTTAGTGGTGAGAAGCAAAGCTGAGATGTTCTGTCCTGGATGAGTTGTGAATGAGAACCTATAAAACAATAGAGGGACCTTTTGAAGCTTAGTACACATATAGAATGGAGACATAACCTATGGATTAATAAAAGGAGTACAAAATAACATTTTTCTTTTTCTTGATTTCACACCACCATGAAACAGCCAGTGACATGACGTGATGAAATAATCATTAATCAATATTTTTAAGAGCTATTCTATCAGGAGATTTAGCTCCTAAAAAGAATGGACAATGAAACCAAGATACTAGAAGAGTGGTTTCATTTTTTCATAGGGGAAAATCAGTAACGGGTAGAAAAGTCGACACCTTTAATACCACATCACAAAGATGACATGATAGATCATTATCTTGGCATGATAAACTCCAGTGTCGGTAAAGTTTGTGTTTGCAAAATAAGAAGCATAGTTTTTTTGTTGCTGTTGTTGCAGTGCTTATCTTTATTCATTTTCCTCACATAACAGACGCCTTTTTAATTTCCTTAATTCAAAAGAGAATTGTTTGAATATTATCTAGCATTTTACAATGGATGTTACTGTCTTATCTCCTGTCTACCTTTGTCAGCTTTGCCAAATATTTCCTCAGAGGGTTGGGGGGTTTTCCATTCATAAATCTCCTGCAATCTGCAAAGTCCAAACTTCTGTCTTTTTTTGCATAAACAAAGTGATGTTAACAAGTCAATGGACAAAGACCAGTGCTTTCAATGATTCGACTAGGATCAAGCTGTTAAGTGTTGATGCCTTCTTATCTTCTTTCCCAGGCAGATATTTACATGTCAGGGTAATCCCACATAGCACAAAATGAGTAATGCAAAGATTCAGAATAGATATCATCAAGGCTATAAATTTACAGAGAATTCAAAACATTAAACACAGTGAGGGATTATGTACTCTTTCACAAAGAATGATTTCTAACTTTGTGACTGTAAATTCATTAATTAGTTCAGGGATTAATACTATTTGACTAATTAATAATAATTTCTGGAAAATGCTATGAAAATCCGTTAAATGGTACTGTGAGAAGATAAATGCCATCATTTGAAATTTAAACTGCACGGAGATCAGCCCCTTTAAGCCCAAAGTTCAGCCCAGTCTGAATATGTCTCCAGTGTGTAGCCTAAAAGGCTTGACAAAATGTGAGGGATCATTTGGTGGTGGTTTTTTTTTTTCTTTTCCTTTGTGTTTAATTTTTCTATATTGTTGTCTTTTATCAGGTGTTTTGGCATTTACTCACATTGTGACACTGAAGGGAGCCTCAGTTGTCTGTGACTTCTATCTTTTTGCAGCAAGAGGCTTCAGACACTAAGTACTACATGTATTCTGTTTGCTTAAGGCTATCCCTGCATAAGATTTTTTTTGTTACTTGTTTGTGGGTGGAACAGGTTAAACATAATGTTCTGAATACAAGCACAGAACAGCAGAGAGGTTTGTGAACAATATACAAGTTTGAACTTGCCCTGGGATTAGAATATAACCTTAATTTTGGTACCTATACATAAAAGGGATAACGAACTAAGGCAAAAGTCTCTTCAAGGAATTGCATAGGTTATAGAGTTGTGGATAAAAGCAAATCAACTTTTCAAAATCATATGGTGATTGTTAGCTGGAATATATGACTTTCTATGCCGTACACTTCTGACAGCAAAGATAAAACTGTGCATATGGGAACAACAGAATATTTATCTCAATTTCCTCCAGATACTGCTCCTACATTTCAGTTTTCCAGAGTTGTAAACATTGCCAGGGGTTTAAGGTGTGAAAGCTCTTCCAGAAGAGATTTCTTATGAATCTGAAGTACTTGATTCAATTTCAGGTGATTCCCTTAGTCTAGGAGAAAAATGAGGATAAAAATCAGATGTTGTGCAATAACATATTCCTTGCATAAAAGGTTTATACTTTGTCTGATGAAAATAGCCTGGAAAAATAGTTGCATGTTTCAGAAGTGGTAACTTACTATCTGAACAAGCAGGCCCTTGCAGAATGGTAGGTCACTAGGTAGGCTTACTGAAGCTTTGGGAGCGCGAAGAGCGCTAGGTAACGCTCTGTGCTGATGATGCTTTTCTCCATTTCTGGTATATTGGAGACTGAACAAATTTCATTCTAGAGTAATTTAAAACCCTCTCCATAGTATACTCCTGGGAAGAAGTTGATCTTGTATGACAAGTAACCTGAGTTGGCACCCTGCAATCCATTACAAAAGTAGCAGACCAGTTGCGCTTACCCTGGAGAAAATGGTAGTGGCAGAATTTGTCGCTCAGGTGCACTGGACGGACTGGTAAGGCATCATGTGTCTGCAAACATGGTAGTTGGAGCTGCTGCAGTACAGAGACTGAGGAACAGAGGACAGGTAGAGTCCTGCAGCTACCCTGGCTGCCCTTCATCACCATCCCTCAGCACCTTTCCCCTCAGCACTGCTTGAATGAAGTCCCTGTGTTCTGTGAAATTACTTCCTAAACAGCATGGGCTTAGCAGAACTGCATCTGTGTATCTAAACTTCATGCTGATAGATTCTGAACGATATCTCCAAATTTTTTGAGACCAGGCTGACAACTCTTCCAAAAGATTCATAATGGCACCTTTAGGTCATCTTACTCATTCTTCAGCAAAACTGTGTCACAGATTTGATCTTACCTTCCTTGTTCTTCGATCCTTGATCAGTTTACATCTAGCAATTGCTTTAAAATTTGAATACTTTTTAAAATATATGTCTGACTTTGTATAAAAGGACTTATCTGTCTGGGTCTAGAATGTCAGCACAAATGAATATAATCCGTATCTGCATAGCTTATCTGGTATATAGCTATAATAAATTAATTTCTAGTGCAAAGCATAACAATCATTTTAAATAGTGGCCTTAGGTCATTTGTCTTGTATGATTAACATTTCCATCTTATTACTAGGATGTGTGGGGAGGAATTACCTGGTTGTTTTATATCAAAGCAAATTTTAACCAGCAGATGATACAAATGTTTTTTGCCAAGTTAACAAGTACTTAATATACTGTTGTAATTGCATGTCGAATGAACTAATATGTATTTATCGCTTCATATTTACATTCAAATGCAAATGAGTATTTATAAAAGCATAATCTCAAAGACCTTGAAACGTTAAGAATACATCTTAAAGTAAGCACATTCTTTCTGTTTTTACTTAGTCATCCGTGACTCTTTGGAAGATCATGTTTCTGGAGATGGGGTCATGTGCCCGCTGGGCTACTTTCCATGTGGCAATATCACAAAGTGTTTGCCCCAACAACTTCACTGTAACGGTGAGGATGACTGTGGGAATCGGGCCGACGAAGACAACTGTGGTACGTGGTTGAGACTTTTCTTTCTGTCTAACACCTGTAGTCTCTGAAACCCATGCAGGGCTCACACTAGACAGCTGCAGAGTGTTAGGAGTAGGAGAGTTAAAGGTTTTGCAGAAGACACAGCAGGTCTTAGCTAAACAGCTAATAAAGCCACCCAACAAGCCATTCGCTAGGAAAGAAGGATGGACCACATTTTTGTTTATGCACAGTATCAGTTCATCCAATTTTATCCCTGCTTAGAACTTGTTTGCATGTGTCATTTTGATGTGTACAAATGGATGTACATGGTCTAGCAAAGATCTCTGCTGAGGAGAGGTAGATGTATGCGCTAACAGAGTTTATATAAAGCTTAATGTGACTGAATGTGGAAAACATTATTTAGAAGATTTTTTGAGGTTTTTCAGAAATCATTTATATCCTAATTTGGGAGAAAGCCGTGACTGTGTGAGTGTGCGGTGCAAGCCTGGGGTCTGGACAGCAAAATCTCGGGGAATACACATAGTCCGGTCACTGCTGCCTGCTGTTATGATCCCTGTCACTCCTGGTCCTGCCAGATGGTAGCCATGAACTTGGCTTGGTTTGTAGGCTTTACCCCTGCCACAAACTGAGTAGGGCCAGGACAGGGTCTTTGCACTGGCACTTACTTGTCCACGTTGCCTATTTGTGAGCACGACCCTGGCACAGGTTTAGTCTGTGCTGAGCAGCATCTCTCACGCGGTGCCTGGCCACAGCTCAGAGGGTGGCACAGACCTGGAATAGTCTGGGAAAGGCCTCCCTGTATTTTGTAAGAAGAGATCTTAGCCATTTTGGTTGTAAGCTATGACCGCAGGGATAGAAAATCAGCCCTAGCACATTTTATTTACTGGTATTGTCAGCTTACTAATAGCCTGGATAGTTTCAGAGCTACTCTCCAGAGCTGCTGATCGATGGCAGACGGGGAAACTAGACTTCCTATCCCTTGGTAACTTGCTTGTAGCCGGGAAGGGCAGTGAGAAGCATGGTGCCCTGCCGCGCACGCTGCCTTCAGCTCCCCGGAGCCAAGCAGGGGAACTGTTTGCCTGTCCCAGCCAGGCACGCTGCCATCAGAGCTGGGAGGAAGAATTAAAATATTAAGTGAAATTTCCGAGATATATATACCAAAAGAAATCTTCTGAAAGAAATTTCAAAGAAAATACGGTAAAGGTATTTTTCACAAGCGTTCGCAGAAAAGTCAATGAAGTTTTGAAAATAGTTGTTCTCATATATCTGTGAAGCTGATTCTTGTACCTACGTGTAGTATCATATTCTTATACCTACCAAATTTCAGCATCTTACTCCATGGGAAAGTCACTTTTAATTCTAATGCTATCTAATGGACCTGCAGCTTTTTCTACTTTTATGTCATTTGCTGATGCCATAAACTTACTTTCTGTTGCCAGTAATCAAAATCCTGAACAAAATTGGCTCTTGTTCTATTCTTCTGTAATTATCTTGCCCTACAGTGGCAGAAATTGCCGACAGTGGTGCCCTCTTACGTTTAAGAATTCCAAGCACCGTAAGCAGTTGGTTTATCCATGTTTCATTTCTGTATAGTACCAGAAAGTCTGTTGTACAAGGACTTGCTGAAAGTGTACAGCTTGATAAAATGGCAATTAGGATATACACAGTTTCATAACGGGATGTACAAGATGATATCACCGGCAAGACAATTCAGCTTTAGTATGCCTGCCTTATGCCAGCAGTTATGTCTGGTTCCTTCTACCCATTTTTTAAATTTGCGACTAGATTTCAGTTGAAGTCATTGCTCCTGGTTACAGAAAAGCAATTCAAAATGAAATTATTCCAGTGTAGTAATTATTTCATGCAGTACCATTGGAAATTTTAATCTTATCCACAAGGTACTCTAATTAAGTAGCTCAACTTTTAAATTCTTACATGCTTTCATCTTGCATAAACTTCAGTAAGAGCTGTGAGGTGGCCAGTATACAACATTCAACCCAACAAGTGTGGGGAGGGAAAAAAATCAGTGTAGACCCTCAAAGGAATTCAGAAACGCGCTTTTTTTTTTTTTTTTTTTTAGTGCATATATCTCAAATACAGTCAGGTAAAGCAACTGCTTTACTAATGATTTCTTCACTAATGATAAAGCACTATCTTAAGCTTACAGAAAAATGTTATGGTGAAGACTTGCATATATCTTATGCACAAACCAGCATTATAACATAAGGAAATACAAAGCAAAAATCTGTCATGGACAATAGTTCTTTCCATAATGGAAAGGACAATATGGATGAAGAAGGAAAGGAAAAAACCTGCTTCTTTTAGAACTATAATACTACTGTTTGAAAAAAAACAGGTACTCTAAACATAAGAAAATCCAAAGTCCATCTGTTCAATACAAGCCCCTAAGTGTGCTGAATATCAACAGCAACTGCAATTACTGAAACAGCACTTTTAAGAAACATCAGTGAATAAACAAGCGGAGAAGCAACTAGCATAAAAAACACAGGTAGATCTTCCAAGAGAGTTACTTTGTAAAGTCTTTAAATGTCCTTGAAATAAAAAGTAAAAGGCATCAGTGCAGCAAAGACCAACATGATAGGAGCCTCTGAAAACACTGAAATCAGTCACTCCAACTATCTTGTAGCAATTCTGTCCCTTTCCTCTTCTAATGAGTAAAGTTCTATCATTCCCCACTTCATTCTTATAGAGATATTTATTGTTGTAATCTTTGAGACGATTTGCAATATTAGTCTTGTTTCACGCACTGAATGCCCAGCAACAGCAAAACATGATTATAAATATTTCAAACTAAACTGAATCCCCACTGAAAGATGTGTTTTCAGATGTGCTGTAATCGCCGTTCATACCCAACCCAGGCACATAAAGATCAGCTTCTTCAAATCCGCTTCCTCTTTCACTTCCACCGTGTTCTCCATGTCCAAATAATAAACACAAAACTAAGGCCCAGAGAAGTGAAATGACCTGAAATTAGGATTATAGGCAGAGCTGGGAACAGACTCTAGGTCTCAGACTGTTGTGTTAGTCCTTAACCTCAGGGTGTGGACCTCCTGCTCGTCAGCTCAACTTCAGCATTTGTTCCACTTCTGGAAAGGAGGGAATTGTAGCTGATATGTTGCAGTAGAGTGAAAGCCACCCATCTTTGAAAATTCATGTGCCTTTGTCACCTAGTTATGTTTCCAAAACCAATAAAATGCTGTGTGTGATATTCTGATGGGGAAGAGCTTGAGGCAATGTAGTAAATTGCAGTAAGAGGAGGAGGCTAGCAATTTATCATGCCCGAAGTGATGGGAGGCTCTTTTTGAACTGTGGCTAGACGACCTTAAATGTGCATGGAAAACACAGTCTCACCTTTTGAACTTGAAAACATAGTCCATCGAGTAGAAGTGGGTGTATCTGCAAATTTGTTATGAATATGGTATTTTTAAATAAAAGTAATTTCTTTAAAGTTTCATAATTTGGCATAAAAGCTTATGGTTTTGAGGGCTTCTCTTTTTTAGGCTTGAGTATGGCAGTAAATTTTTCTCTGCTGTTCTGCCCTGTGCTTGTGCTGAAGCACTGAGTTCTTAAAAAGACCGAGTGCATCATTAAACAGTTTAGCCTATATCACACATTTCACTCAGAGTTATTTTTGTATCTGTTAGCAAAACTCAAACTGTGTGGAAAACAAATATGGCAATTCTAGCATCCTTCCATGCCCACGCTTGATTAAAGCTCAAGTTGACAAAGCAGAGCAAGTTTGATAGTGTTTTCTCCTACTGAGACTACATTTGATTTCAAACATAATGGCTTCAGCCTAATTTTCCAGGGAAGAGCTTTTCTGATTTGATTCTGTAGCTACCTGATGTTTATAGATGGAAGGTTAGAATATTTGTTTACTTCATTGCTTTTTCAAACGTGAGCAGGAAGGATAAACGCTAGGCATAATCACAAATTATGCTCACCTAATGCTATGGCAGTGTTGACATGGGAATTGTTCCTAAAACAAGTAAAGAGTATTTCTTACATTGAAGACGTTACTGCTGCAATGTTACTGTTAATGTATTCTAAACAATCTCTAGGCAACGCCCTCTGAAGCCCAATGGCATAGTAAAAGTGCCAAGTACGTGTTCTCAAGTACGTATTCATGAAAAGAAGCATTTTGGAATCTGCTTTGACAGTGATGCTTAATGATAAACAAAACAAAATTAAAATTAACAACAGTAGATAAAAACAACAGTTGACTAACGCAAAACAAAAGTAACAGAATCACAGTATTTGTGATGTAGCTTTTCACTGAGTCCGCATGTGTGTTTTTTACCTTAAAGTGCGTGTTTGTTGAGATGAACAAATTCTGACACATGACAAACTGAAAAAACATATGAAAAGTTAAATCGTAACAAAACTGTACTCTACAAATTTGGACAGAAGACAAATAATGTTGCCAGTAATCATCTATGGATTTTTTTTTTCCAAAATACTAACTCTCTGAGTAGCTTTAGACAAGAAAAAAATCCTTAATCTGCTCCCTAATTAAGTATTTAAATTTTAAATCTTACACATAAGCACTCTATATTTTCTTTTTCTAAGTTCTCTGATACACCATCTACTTAGAGGGCTGAGTGAGAAAACTTTTGTCCTAGATAAGGGTCAGCTTTCTCTGAATAAAATTTTCCTACAATTACATGCAGTGATAAAAGCGTAATGTTATCAGTCTAACTACTTTTGTGTAATTATCTTTTCTAGATACGTCACTGGGTCAGTTATCATTTTGTAGTCATATCATGCTAATTGCAAAGTGCTGCAAAAATTCTCAATGCAGTTAAATTTTAATTAACTGAGAGACTGAATATTTGTTTTCCTTGTGTGATCTTCTAAGATCTTTGTTGCAATTGACCCTAATATTCCAGCCCTTCTGCTGGATAGTCAGCATGATTTGTTTGTCGTAACTGTAAATTACCTGTGATGCTAATATGATGATGCCAGTTCTTGGGGAAAAGCCTCCCAGTAAATTGCAGTGT